AAAGCTCATGCGCGTTTCCCACCTACGCAATAAAATAATTGAGTGTCCAGAGCAAAGCTAAATAAAATCTATATTCAAATTTTAATTAGCATTAACAAAAGTAAATTAAGAATTTAGAAATATTTTCTGAGATGAAAAAACGTCAAATTCTATAATTAAAAATAATTTTATATGGAATCAACAGATTCTATATTTCAATTATAAAATAATTATTATTGATGTAATATCTATATAATAAAATAAGACGTAATAAAAAAACTTACAAAACTGTGGACAAGTATAGGAAACAGCTTATGAAATGCAACAAATTCTGACAGATGTTTACTCATTAAATGTCACAATTTGATCGTTTTGATGTCTTGCATAATATGGCAGAAGTGCAGCTTCCCGCGGTTGCATTTCAAAGCTCATGCGCATTTTCCACCTACGCAATAAAATAATTGAGTGTCCCGGGCAAAGCTAAATAAAATGAATATTGATATTTCCCATAATTAAATAGAAAATCTTAAGGACTTAAATATATATCCTAAAACAATTTTTATATGTGCACTTATAAGATGTCCTTAATGAATTATAAGGATGCACAAGTTATTAGAAATTATCCAAAATCACAAACATCAATCAGGAACATTTTAGTATTCAATATATAATTATTATCAAAATCTATTAAATAATTTAATTACTACCTAAATCTATATAATATAATTATAGCAAAGAAACAATAAAAAAACTTACAAAACTGTAGACATGTGTAGGAAACAGCTTCAATCACTTTGAAATACATACAATTCTGATAGATGTTTACTCTACTTGATTGATTTAATACCTTGCACAATATGGCGGATGTGCAGCTTCTCGGGGTTGCATTTTAAAGCTCATGCGCGTTTTCCACCTACGCAATAAAATAATTGAGTGTCCCGGGCAAAGCTAAATAAAATCTATATTGAAATTTTAATTAGCATTAACAAAAGTAAATTAATAATTTAGGAATATTTTCTGAGAAGAAAAAAACGTCAAATTCAATAATTAAAAATAATTTTATATGAAAACGTATGGAATTAACAAATTCTATATTTCAATTATAAAATAATTATTATTGATGTAATATCTATATAATATAATAAGACGTAATAAAAAACTTACAAAACTGTGGACAAGTATAGGATACAGCTTATGAAATACAACAAATTCTGACAGATGTTTACTCATTAAATGTCAGAACTTGATCGTTTTGATGTATTGCACAATATGGCGGATGTGCAGCTTCCCGGGGTTGCATTTTAAAGCTCATGCGCGTTTCCCACCTACGCAATAAAATAATTGAATGTACCGGTTAAAGCTAAATAAAATCAATATTGAAATTTCCCATCAATGTTTTTATTTTAATTGTAATTTTCTCATAAAAAATATACTTCTTAAATAGTTAAAATTTTAATTAGCATTATCAAAAGTAATTAATAATTTAGAAATATTTTCTGAGAAGAAAAAACGTCAAATTCAATAATTAAAAATAATTTTATATGAAAACATATGGAATCAACAGATTCTATATTTCAATTATAAAATAATTATTATTGATGTAATATCTATATAATAAAATAAGACGTAATAAAAAACTTATATTTATAATTCTGACAGATGTTTTCTCATTAAATGTCACAACGTGATCGTTTTGATGTCTTTCACAATATGGCGGATGTGCAGCTTCCCGGGGTTGCATTTCAAAGCTCATGCGCGTTTTCCACCTACGCAATAAAATAATTGAATGTCCCGGGCAAAGCTAAATAAAATCTATATTGAAATTTCCCATCAATGTTTTTATTTTAATTGTAATTTTCTCATAATGTTAATGTTAAATTTTGATTTTAAATTAAAATAATTGCAAATTATTTGGATGTTAAAAGTAGAATGTGTTAATGTCAAAATATGGTGGATGCGCGGGGTACATCTGCAGATGAAAATTCACAGAATTGATGGATGCAATTGAAAATCGATGTAGCCATTTCCGTAAATGCGCATATTCCGATATTTATCTGAAAATATTTTATAAAAAAATACAATTTGGAAATTGAATACAGATTTTATCCTTTACCTGGGATATTTTCAGATAAATATCGGAATATACGCATTTCCGGAAATGGCTTCATCGATTTTAATATGTAAAGTTGAATTAGTATTCAAAATTATTTAAAAAAATGGATTTGGCCTTTTGTAGCCATTTGTAATATTTCATTTGAAAAATATTTATAAATCTTTTCAGCTGTTAATTATCCTATAATTTAAAAAATATTGCATTTCAAAGCTCATGCTCGTTTCCCACCTACGCAATAAAATAATTGAGTGTCCCGGACAATGCTAAATAAAATCAATATTGAAATTTCCCATCAATATTTTTATTTTAATTGTAACTTTATCATAGAACATATACTTTTTAAATAGTTGAAATTTAAATTAGCATTAACAAAAGTAATTAATAATTTAGAAATATTGTCTGAGAAGAATAAACGTCAAATTCAATAATTAAAAATAATTTTATATGGAAACATATGGAATCAACAGATTCTATATTTCAATTATAAAATAATTATTATCGATGTAATATCTATATAATAAAATAAGACGTAATAAAAAACTTACAAAACTGTGGACAAGTATAGGAAACAGCTTATGAAATACAACAAA